AAATACTGTTCGATAACGTACTATACATTTATGAACATAAAAACAAACCTTACTTCTACAAGTATCACACTTTAGCACTTTTGGTCTGAGTAAGCCCAGTTTAATCGAAATTCTGGAACAAAACCATCAGCTATTAATGCAACAAAATATTGGGTTCACAGTGAACTCAATAAAAATGATAATTTCTTCCATTTGCAGCGGCCTTTGAATTCTGCTCTTCGAACATTACTGCGTATTGACAGCAATTTCCATGAAGAATTTGTGCCCAAAGGACCCTCAAAAAGCATTTGCGTGCACTCTCATTGCTGAGATGAGTATCGCGTTATTTGATTAGTCTCATTGTCTTTGTACTTTTGGTGTGCGTAACACGACAACAGTCGCGTCGCGGTTGATTTATAGAGAAAGAGATGTCTAGAGAGATATACGTAACATGATTAAAGGAACTTATCTATCACGATAATTGGGTGTATAGAACAAATTGGCGTTCGATAATCTTGTGCTATGACGCTAAAGTCACGCTTGAAGCCTCCACCTTAGTCTAGGTGGAAAAATGAAAAATTATCTGAAATTTCAGAAGGTAATGAAGAATGGAGGAACAAGATAAGAAACAAGAATTATGACCCTAGTTTTTGTAGAAGAATCTAGATTTGGCGAAGAGAGAATTTATGGAGAGAGCAAAAAAGTAGAAAAATTGAATTTCTGTTAATTCGCAGAGGGAAAAAATGGAGAAAACTTGGTATGAAATTTTTCCCTTTACAGTAATCCATATTTATGGAATGCTCTACTTCAGAATTAGACTTAAGAAATTTTTTTTCGAGAAAAAGCTTGGAAGTCGGGAGGGGAGCTAAAAAGTTTTTGGGAGATAAAAATTTGAAGCTCATTTTTACGGAACTTCATGGTGAGCAACAATCACTTTTGTTTTGAAGGGTGGTTTTGAAAAATTAGAAAATTTACATCATTATTTTCTTAGAATTTATTAAAGGTTAGACGGATTTGTTGTTCGTACTCAAGAGATATTCAAGGGGGAAAAGTCTCTACGTAAGGCTCAACCTTGAAGTGAGCAGTTAATTTCTGCAAAATATTGGTGCCAGGGTTTATTAAACAGGAATTTTTACCAAGAAACCTGCAAAAAACATTTTTCTTCACGAGTCTCGCTTACGTAAACTTGCTTAGTCTTAAAAAGAAAAAATCCTCACAGAATGTCAGACGTGAATTTGCTTCAATTCAGATTTTAATTTATGAAATATGGTTTTTAGATTTGATGTTCCTCGGATGACATCGGTTTTTTTTTGCTTCGAAAATTCTAATAAGTGCGCCGCTCCCCATAGCTGTCATGACTATAAATAAAGCTAATGTTTTCCAAATAGAACATCATGCATTCTTCCCATGTTTCCTTTTTTCCCGTACATCACAGCGCTACGTTGGGGAAACACAAAGGACATGTTGACTCTGCGTCGCATACTTTCACGGGAAATGATTGTCCACAGCTGACATTTCAAGATCGAAAATATTAGAAGTTTGATGAAGGTTTGGCCTTTGATTCTATTGTACTTCCGCTGGTTTCGTTTTTCATCAAACTTATGAAGTCCTCAACTCAAAGTACGTACTTAAATGGAAAAGTGCCGGAAAGGATGGGTCATTCTAATCTATATGGCACGCATTGTAATTGACTGTGTGACTATGATGATCGGATTACCGTTGTACTGACTCTTAGTTTCCACACCACTGTAGAGTACATGGGTAAATGATACTTTTGGAAAAAGGATAGACAGCCTGGTCGGTTCAGAACTAATTTGAAAAAGAAAGATTTAGTTAAAAGCATTGAGACAGCAGTGCAGTTCAAGAGCCTTGTAAATGAAAACGGAGAATAATTGACCACCCGACAATCAGTGGGAGTCCCAGGATTGCCGTCCGGGATGGGGGGGGGGGGGTGACAAAATTTTTTGAGATGAAGGTGCGTGGCCCCAAAAAAAAATTTTTATTAAGAATATTTGAATTTTTTTGAAAAATTTAAAAATCATTTTAATTAGTTACAAAAACAAACAAGTAATCAGCACATTTTTATAACCCATGTAAGTAAATTTTAAAAATTTCGCGACCCATTCTCGGAGGGGTGGGGGCGCCTCGAATAACCACTGCGAACCACTGCGACAAGTGGTTCTAGGTTAATTGTTTTACAAAACTCATTTTGAAAGAGATTATGACATTGTGATGATTATGACTTCATAATTGCGTCGCGACAGAAAACCTGTTGCATTACGTATTTTTATAATCTGGACTTGAGACCCTAAGACTTTACCCAAACCGTGAGTTTTTCCTAATATCTCAATTACTCGGCGTTTTGCCAAAAAAATTAATCTATCTTGATTGCTAGTAGCTCTAAAACTGCAATGCTCTCCAGAGTAGCCTTCCCTGCAATGTTGAAAACTTCCCTGAAATTGTAGTATAGCCAAGTTCTACATGGTTTGTTTGGTCGCCGTCAGTGTTTAACCTTCTCTCAGCGCTATCTGAAGACGCTTGACGCAAATCATTTGATTTGATATAGGCGAGCCATAATTTTAGCACAGAACGTGTGTACTTTGCTGTGCTTGGGCTAGGCTGAGCTGAGCATATGTGCACACCTCAGCTCATGCAAATGCTCCGACTATGCATGTGCTAAGAACAATTTGTTCGAAAACAAAAAGTGCCCCGTCAAAGATTATTGCGCCGCCGCTCTTCTGTGTGTTTACGCTGTTTTTTGAGAACTGCGTTGGCCGCGTTCCAGAGTGAGAAATGGCTGAGAAAAACTGCCATTAAAGTTGTTTACCAAGAGAAACTCGTACGGCCGCAGAATTTCCATTTCTCTTGAGAGTTGCCTCAATGGGACTTTTTCTTTTTAATATACCGGTTTTGAAAAGTACTTGCGAAACTCTCGTTGGAAAACTTCATATTTCAAGGTTTGCTCGTGTTTTTGGGCTGTTCGTTCACTTGAATCTCGACAAAGAATATTACTACCAACTGTGTAATAAAATTCATACATTACGTTGTTGTTATGCGGTAGCAACGCGGTTTACAACCTGTCTAGGCCGTATAGTAATCAAAAATTACTATAAAACCTGTTTTTTTCACAATGGGCTGCCTCATGGCTCACATCAGACACGGGAGTTCGATCAAAAGTACAAGCAATAAGTCATTTGCTGGAAATACGAGCTGCAAAGGTCTTCCATCTTATTTGAGAGTGCAGCCGGCAATCAATTTGATGTGCCAGTATTTTAATAAATCTCACTAAATTTTAAAGTTCTCGATTATGGATAGGGCATTGATTAGACTGGAAAAACTAGCACCCAAGATGATTCAACGGAAATTTAGAAGATTCTCTTCCACTCGTGACCGTATAGTTTTGATGATATGTTGGCCACGTCTTCCAAAGTCTCCGTACCAGTCACACGACAAGCACAGAATTCTATCTGGCGCCAGAAAATTTCCATTTTTGTACGATGTTGTGACTTAACAGCTGAAATCGTTCCTATAACAGTACAATCAATATTTTTTAGCCAAATATCCTTTTCGTGAATTCTATACTATTTACCATTTCATCTCCTTCAAAAGAGGCAAAACTTGGTTAAGTAATTTTTTTGTGGTATTTGATGATGATTGTAGAAATCACCATCAAAAAATCTTAGAAAAAAACTTGTATGTATAAAATCCTTTTACTGAATAGATATCGACCTCGACTACTGAATGTAACCGCAAAAAGCATTTTTTTCTTCTTTTTAGTTACACAACCACCCGTATCTGACGTCTTAAAATCTCTAAATCTACCGTTTGAATTGAAACGTAGAGTCTCGAATCAGTGAGGTTTGGGTCTTGGGACAGTAAGTTGATCGGTCCTCAATATCTCAATGAAGAAATGAAATCAAATGTCAAATAAAAACAACTGAATTGAAATAAAATATAAAAGCGATATACATTAAAAAATACCCATTCGATCTACGATATTTACCGTTTCAACCCACACATGAGATGCAAATCACAGCGATGTGTGGATTTTCTGTTTGCAGTTTTCATAATTGCTTCGAAATTTAACACTTAAAACGAAAAAAAATTGGATGTTGATTATGATATTTCGAACATGATGTAACAGAAATGTACGGAATAAAATACAATAAAAATTAATTAAAATGATAGGTTAGAATAAACAGAATAAAAGTTGCATGAGTTACTATTTAGAATAAGGTTCTCTACGATAACAGCAATTCTGCCGAAATTTTCGCATTGAAGAAAATTTTGGTCCTAAGTGTAAAACCATTGATTTGACAAAAGAGCATAAATAACGATTTGACGGCTCCGTGATGCTTCCGCCGTCCTTGTCAGCTTCGCAAGCCCTCCGTTCAGTGACTACTAAGTAGAAAGCTATGTCTATTCACATGCAAAGGGTAACTTGGTGGGCGTCCAGGCGCATTCATCAGAGCGACTCAACGGCTTGACAAGCAGTTGGTTCGGCTTTTTCACGGGAAGATTTCGTTGTTGGAGGCAAAAGCTCAAGGTAAAGTAGTAAGCAAAAGGCCAAATAGAACGAAACGACCAAATGCAGTATTGAAAAGTTGAGAAGGAAGAATAAGTTTATAATTCAGAAGTTAAAAATCACAAAATTGACTTCGTCTACTTTTTCAGATTTTTCTGAGATTTTGGGCTTAAGATCAAAAAGTTTCGTCTACGAAAGCCTTTTTAGTCGGATGATGTAATTGTTGGTTTCCGATTCTATACAGCAACATTTTTACCAGTTTGGTACGAGAAAACGCCCAAGAAAAATTTCTTTTTTTTTTCTAATGACTACGGTAATCCAAGTACATAGGAGTCTCAGAATGAATGATTTTTTTTCAATCTGGAGCAGCATCGGCGCCAAACGTGTTTCTTTTTACAAAGTATTCAGTATGGACAATAAACTGAAGCGATTTGAGCATTTATCAACAATTATTTACACAATAACAATAATAGAAACCGGTTGGGGAGGATCTCAACAATTAGGCGGTCACAGCAGCAGGCGACGAGGTGAGTTCAGGCCGACCACACAGTCGCCGTTCCTCGCATAACACAAATCAATAGAAATATTACAAAAAAATTTACATAGAAGGAAATTGCACTCTAAACATCGGGCGGGGAAACTCTAAAATAGCACATAGAACTAGAGCCAAGTGGAGCGATTTGGGAAGAGATGGAAAGAGAGCATAATATGCTCAAGTTTACGGAATAAAGATGTAATGGACGTAATTTCGGTGGATGTTTGGGGTGCTGGTTGGTATCCCGTAATGCCTGTGAACCCTATGTATAGCCAAATTGAAAATAATAATCGCCACATAAGAAAATACATGACATAATGACTTTCAAGGCAATAGACCCGTATTGGACCGTATGCGAGAGCGAGTGTGGGGGGGGGGGATATAGTGTGAAGATGGTTGGGTGACAATGTAAGGTTTAGGTAAGAATTCTTGAGAACCTTCGAGAAATTGTCTGATGAGAGCGAGAATTGCCAAGAGAGTTTGTGGAACATCATATATATTATAAAACAACAAATATGGTTGTCTCAGAACATATACAAAAATAATGGAATTGGCGAGGAAATCTCACAAAAAAATTCTGGAGGCATTTTCCGTTTGTCCTTCTTTTTTACATTCGGTCCCAGGAGACGGGGCTTTAGAATAGAATAAGCTCTAGTTGTATACAGCGCTGGCAGTGCTTGCGCGGTGTGTGGTTTTAGCAAACCGCCTCGGTGATCTCCAACAGGGGCTCGAGCACCGGTTGGAATTTCGGTCGGAGCCCGGACAGACGTCGTTCCCGGGGCTCGTCGTGTCGCTCGTTGCCCTCGTGGTCGGGGCTCTGGAAAAAGTGGAATTTACAAGGGTAAAAGCTCGAGAGCACATGTTATCAGTGCTGACAACGAAATGGCCTGTTTCAGCAAAGGAACTTTGGTTTTGGAAGTGTTTGGCCAAGTGATAAGGGGGCAAATCGCGCTGCGATAGGGGCACAAAATCGCTGAAGCTTAGGCGAAAACGAGAAAATTCGCGATAACACAAACACAAAACGCCAATGCACCAAAGAGCAAAGTGAGCAAGAAATCACAACATCTCAGAATTTTCCCCTTCTCCAAACCACAGCCAAACACTTCTGACCCCCCCCCCCCTCCCAAATCTGGCGCAAAAAAACCAAATTTCTTACCGTTGGTCGAGGCTGAATTGCAATTGACAAATACACGTCAGGCAATAAACAATCGGGTTGAGCTTCATCGCGTACGAGACGAACACTGCCAGTATTCTCCTTCACATTCTGAAATTGCCAAAATTCAGTGAAAAAGTGCCTCCGACATCGCCCGATTTCAGGTGATTGATGGTTCTAAGCGCAACATTTGCTTCGTCGCTCGTTTTCTCTCGCCGTATCTTCACACTCGCACGAACGGACAGCGCGGCGCATATCGACTAATCAGTCAGCAGTTTTTTTCTCGCCGAGACCACGGAGACGATCTTAGTGCGCTCGCTATGTGGCGCTGGCACAAGGTTATCTGGTAGTTTTGACAGTTTTTAGAGAAGTTTGGGCTCGCGAAGGAACTTCTTTGGGAACGTTCGGATTTTGTAAGAGTCATGACGGGAATTTGAAAGGTAAATTCTAAGCAAATGTTTGAATTTGTCTTTAACAATTTCAAATCTCAAAATATGATCCACAATGTTCCCAAAGAATGAACCCGTCCCCCTTATACAATAATTGAATCATTACTTGTCACAATCGATTGTTTGAAAAACTTCTCTCAATAGACTGTCATTCCTGATTAGGAACTGGACTCTGATAGGATCAAAAAATCAAAAAAACATATTTTCGTCTCCAAGTCAGTCACCACAAAAGTCATTCCCAACTGTGACTTTGATTTGGACTTCAATGAAATCGCCCTGACTGCCCGTTTAAAAAAAAACTTCCTGGTCATTTTTCGCCCAGACTGAGCAAATCCTCAAAGATGGTGGTGGGGCTTAAAACGCATAGAACATGGGTATGTGTGGGGGAAGCAGTAAACAGTCAAAGTCGTAAACAACTATGTTATCGCGTGTATGTGTCTGTCTCAAAAAGCCATCTATATGGAGGAAAATAAGGGCAAAAAAGAGAGGCAAATGGAAAGGACAGGGGGTTCTTTGTCGATTTTGAGCATTTGATTTCTTGGTCTGGCGTGGAAGCATGAATTTGAGATGAGGCAGCTGCCCAGAGCGCCTGCCTTGCGACAAACAAGCGCTGCTTTAGATTTTTATGAAAAAATGAATCAAAATGAAAAAATTACAAACCTGCTCGTAGGCGATGAGCTGTCTCCAGAATCCTAGATTAGGACGGACCATTGGCCTTTTAAGCTTCATCAAATGATAGGCGTCACGAAGTGAACGACACCTGGAAATTTTGATAATAAATTTCATAAAAAACAGGCGCATCACCCTTAAATAGGCATCAGCACAAAATTTGCATACCTATATTTCGTCAAAAATGCGAGGCAAATCGACGCTGACCGTGAAACACCGGCCACGCAATGGACAAGTACCCTACCGCCGTCAGCAATAAGCGCTTGAATCTGAACGAGGAAACCATTGAAACTTCCACTCGAGCCAGGTAAGAGTAATCCTTACCTGGTCACTCTGAAGTTCCAAATGTGGGTAGATGTAGGTCTGTGGGGTGTCCTCGAGCCAAAGCTTAGTGCGTTGGATGTCGCCGAGGCTTCTGAGGTTTGGCACTTCAGTGGTGGCGTTGATGATGTGAGTGATCTTGTTCTTTTTCATTTCATCGGGTGTCAGGGCGCTCACACCACAAATGAACAGCCCGGGCACAATTTCGCTCATTTGAGCGTATTCGGGATTGACGCGGAAGGAAATCGACATTTTCTGGAAGAGTGAACATTGGTTTGGGTAGAATGAACTGGCAAGGTAAACATATATGCGAATGGTAACAGCGAAAAACCGGAATAGATGCGAAATGTGCAGAAAATTTTGAATACGGGAAATTCCACAGATATGAAGCTGACAGAGTATTCGGACCCGTAGGGAGCCCTCAGAACCCTAGTGAGAATACGAGGACCCTAGGATGAGTCCTAAGCCTAGGAAGACGAGATGCGCATGGTTAGGTCACTCTACTGACTATCTTATTCCCTCGCCCTCCCCCCCCCCTTCTCAAGTCACCTTATAGATACTCTCAAGGAGGTTCAGCCTAGGTAAGATTTTGAAAGGCCTTGTAGGGAAAATAGGAACCTTGATGAATGACCCACCAATGCGTGAGACAGGAATCTACGAATGTAAACAGGGGGAGGGGGGAGGGGATTGAGTGGTACCTCCCAGACCTAAGGATCAAAAGGGGACACCCGCCTAAGGTAGACTGAAGACACCATCACCCCAACTGTACTTATATATCTAATGTTCAATGTTGATAACAAGCACCGCATGCCTATCGCATGGCGCATGGTTAAGCCCCACTGACCCTATGACTACCCTAACACCCCTCCCCCTCAAGTCACCCTATCACCCTATAGATAACCCCAATGAAGAAATTTTTAGCCGACCGCCACGCCAAAAATGTCGACAGTGAAGAATGCACTCGCCAAAACCACGTTTCACCCTGTACCCACCCCTTCGTCTCCGCCCTAGAGTACGGGGGGCGGGGCCCCGCGATACAGTGCCGGGCAGAAGCGTCAAGCACAAAGAACAAGCAGTGAGATAAATATTCAAGTACATTAGGGACACGAGAGTGAGGAGCGAAAACAAAGCGATTGTGATAAAACGACCAGCTGTAAACAGCACATTCGTTCGTCGAAAAGTCAATAATGGCTGTGGAGCTATTACGCATATATGAATGATTTAGTACAGTCTATGTGAATTGGTGAAGGAAAGGAGTAAACAGTTGCGAGAGAAAATTCGAGGAATGTAATAACATTCTATTAAAAATTGAGGAAGTTTAGAAACATGAAGATGAAAAAAAGGTAGAAACCAGTTGGGTGACTGAGAAATGGACGAGGCAATTTATGGAGATTGCTACATCTTTACACAGCTCTGCATCAAAGTCATTAATTTTAAACAAAAGTTTCCGATATTTCGAGAATTTCCAAGAGTTTCTCGACTTGGAGAATATTTAAAAGCATTAGATTACGAGAATATCAAAAAAGACCAATTACCAATTTTCTGTAATGATCCCACACACCGGTCTTCATGATTACTAACTTCGTCAGATGTTGGATCCCTCGACAATTGTTTTCAAAAAAAAATCCCGTTTCATGCACTAACGTGATCAAACAACAGGTAAAACAGCTGAGTCAAACACTTGTCAGCCAAGTATCTTCTTCATGAGATTGTTTTCGCTCTCGTCAGTCATTTCCTGTGAAATTTGATCTCAAAAATGTGCAAAACAGACGATTATTGCATTGATGTGGAGACAGATGCCGAGACAGGTAGATCAGAGATCTAAGACATGGACAGGTAGAACAGTGATCTAAAACTTGAGATGTAATCATCCTTGTTTCAACGAAAAATGTAAAAAGGGTGGAGAAGTGATTCGAGCAGATATTTTGGTATGGTAAGAGGTATTACGGTAATGACAGTACACCTTTCGTACTGTGGAAAAGCGAAGAATCGAAAAGTAGTGGAAAACAGGATTTGGGTGCCATCTGCGATTAGACGCGATCGATCGATGCCAACAAACACCAAACAAAGCAACAGTGGACGACGGGTGTTTAGCGATTTACGGCAATGGTGGCCCTGCAGCAGATGTCCATCGCCGTCGAGCAGTACAGACAACGCCATATCGAGCAAGATTCTGCAGAATTGCGTCGCAAGGTGTGCAGACCGTGCATACCAGGTCTCTTCGTCAGTGCCTGCACTGCTTGAGCTCGACGGCTCAGGACTCTGCTGGTGTCCGGCCGGTGTCGGTGCCGACGCACCACACAACTGAACGAGGACGGAGGAAGTCGAGAGGCGGGCCTTGCAGCCCATGTATCGTGCACGTGAACATCAAGCAACCCGGGGGGGGCTAGGGACGCAGCGTAGCCGGGGCCCCGCGTAACAATAGCCGAGGACGAGAGAAGCAGCGTTTTGAGCATGTAGTTGAGGTGAATGAATGGAGAGAATTATGGCTTGGTGTAGCGATCTAAAAAGTGTTTGGCTAAGAAGCTATGAGCCAGGTTTTCCTAAATCCAAACCTCCCAGAACCTTTCCAAACTGAACAAGAAGAAAATTCGGTAGAGTTATGGCTTGGACAGGAAAGTATTATCATTTTCATTTCTTATTTTTTTTCTTAAACAATCTCCCAAGATGCAGCGGGAAGGAATATAGGGAAGAGAAAGAATTCGAACACAAATTTATATTTTATATTTATATTTTGAAAAATAAATCTACTTACCATGAACCTGATTATTTGGGTCTACAAAGCTTAGGACTCTCTTAAATAAATTAGGCATTGGAAAAAAATAATTCATTCAAACAGAAAGGATTTAGAAATTTCAAGATTACCGTTTGAAGCCAGCAGAAGGTCTCAGATTTTTCCGAATGTACTCCGAAAATACTCTGAAATATAGCATAATCCTTAAAATAAAATAAATTAGTCAACTTCATTACTACCAAGAAAATTTCGCATTTGCAGTTGTTAGGCTAACTCCTGACTATTCGTATAGTTTCGGGGCTACAACCCCTCATTAGGCTCACAAAAAATGATGGAAGAAATTTAATGAGGTATGTTGTAATTTCTATAAGCAAATAACTTGATGTTATCCTCCCAGATGATACAACAAAATTTTTTGATCAATTTGCGAAAAAATAAAATTAGTTTGGCTAATAGATAATTCCGTTTGACATGCAACTTCCTCTGCAAAAAAATTCAACCGTCATTTAGCTACGGTTTTTGTGATAAGCTAATTTCAAACATCTACCATTACGCCTGTTATTTGTTTTTCATAATTGATAGAAGCAGTTAGTCCTTGTTTATTTATCCAAAAATTCGCTATTTTTTGTCTGAGTTTCGTTTGTAAATGGAAAATAGGAAAATACAATGCGTGGGTAACAACATTTTATCCTCAACTTCGATACCTTTGTAGCGATGAAAAGAAATTTGATGAAAAAATTTGGCTATTATACCTTCTTGCGCCATCTCGACATCAAGAAAAATAATCTATGCCTTAGCAAATTCAGTCATCCGATATTACTTGATTCTCTCTTTCCCATGATACTATATATTTCTATACAAAATTTGTAACATTTCTGCAGATCATTGAAAACGACCGAGATTATTTTTTAGCCAACCTAATGTATGGCTTTAGATTAGTTGAACTTTTCGGTGATGGATATCTTCCGAAGCCATCCAGCATTCACAACATCAGCACACGGAATTTTCGAGCAAAAAATTGGTTTTTCGAAGGCCTTATGCAGTGGCAGCCTTGCCGAAAAGTCACATTGATTGAGGTCGGCCTCGATTTTTTCAGTGCGTTGGAACTGGTTTTGCAGGCGTTTTGCAGATAATTTGCCACGCATCAAGCACCAGGGCGATCAGCGCAGAAAGAGCTCCGATTTGCGGTCGGCTGGCTATGAAGCAACACCGACGTAGACACAACATGTCTGCACTCGGGTAAATAAGGTGTTGACTGAAACAACAGTCCCGTCTCGCTTGCGACGATTTCTGATCGGCTTTTGCAGATTTTGCAAGCTGATGTGTGATCCCTAACTTTCGAAAGCCTAACTTGGAACGGTAGCATTTCGGATATAACTTTTTCACAAAAAATGTCGGAAAAATTTGCCAAGCAACTTTTACGTGGTTGAATCGAGAAGAATATCATTGAATAACTGAGTTTTGCAGATTTTTCAAGTTTAATGATCTCTAAATTTCAAAAAGTAGACATGAAACGATAGCACTTCAATTTGATCTTTTTCGATTTGTCTAGTAACTCTCCCCTGGAGTTTTTTGTTGTAGATTTGAAGTGAAGGTTTTGAAAAGACTAATTTAGACAAAATTTTGATTTCTTACGAAATTATACTATATAAGTTCAATGATTGTCTTGGAATTATCACAGCTGCGATCTCAGCTACCTGTCAAAATCATGTTTTATATTTTTGCTCATCCCCCCCCCCCTTGCCATCCTTGTACGACTTTCTCGTACTCTATTTCCTTTTGAGAACGGCATATCTCTGGGATGATTTTTCTCCTTGAAAAAATGCTTTGTAAAGAGCAACCGAGTATCCGAACAATTGTTCTCGGCCTTCCATCATTTTGAGTAAAGAAAAAAAAGATTAGTTTGTTGGTGCCCGTTCATTGTGCAGTAGTGACGAATTATAATTAGGAAAACACGCCAATCCGAATAATTTGATAAATATAATTATGAGCTTACTTCGGTATTTTTTATCACTGATATAATAAATGGGGATAATTTCTGGAAATTTTCTGACGCGCAGTTACTATTAGTAGACTACTCTATTGGTTTATAACGTCTTTTTTGGAGCTAATTTTCAACGTAGCTAATTAAAAATTATACCAAACAGCTTTTCTCTTCTGGAAATAGAACTGAATCGAAACGAATGCAGAGATGGTCGGAACGTTGTAAACAAATGGCAGAAAACACGCAAAAAGAACCATCTGCTGCCAAAACGTCCACATTTCACATCGCATACTTTACGAAATAGCACAATAACCATTCCGGAAACGATTGTGTTGCTCAAGGTAAACAGATTTATAGCATGTTTTTTAAAGGATAAAAATCAAGGCCATTTTTAACGAAAACAACACGGAAATATCTCTATTTTCATATATTTTCATACATCTATTTCTAGACTTCGAAAACATTTACATTTTATTTTTATCCATTTCCGTGAGTTCCATGAGCCTTGATAAGGAAAGCAAGATATCGCTTAGCCTTGAAGAAATCATTCT